AGGCCACACGTTGTAGTTCCAGATTTGTACGATCTTGTGCGGCTGCATTAGCTGACAATTGCTCAGGGCCTGCGGTCTCAAGGTCAAAAAGATCTGGTGGACGTCTTCCAGTTGCTATCTCTATTGGTGAATATCCACTGATAGTCAACTGACAATGTCTTGCCCAAACTACCTTCTTGACCACTTCTCTGACCGTAACACCACTAAAACGTGGGTCATCCAGATCTACTTTCATAACATGCCACATACGTTTGAACAAACGTACAGCTGTCTCTGCTCGGTTCGGCCAAGGAGTTCTTGGCCCACAAGGACATTGTTGTATACCATGGAACCTGTAGTATTCAACAAAAGCATCTGTGAAAAAAGGCTTCGTCTCCTACGATGGCCTTCGGAACACAGTTGTTCTCATCAGACCATTGCCTCAATGCTTGGATGGTGGTTTGATCTATGAGGTCTTTCTGCGCCGTAGCCCAGAGAAGATTTTTGGCACCATCAAGAACAAGTAGAATGATATACTTGTTCTTGTGAAGTTCAACCTCGCAATGATCAGCAAAAACAACATCACCAAAACATGAAGCTCTAATACCGGAGACTCTGGCTCGTGGCGGAGGTGCCACTGAAGTGTTACAAACACGGCAGTTCCTGACAACTGATTCATACTTCTCTAAAACAGAGTCAGGAAGCTTCAACATAGAAACACGCCTACGAAACTGAGTAGGACTCATATGGTAGTGCTTCACATGAAGCTTGTAAAGCTCTACCTTGTCCTCCAGTCTCTGCAACATCTTCCTATATGCCGGTGTCCTTGCAACAACTTCACTACCAGGTAATGGGATTGAAATCCGCCTAGGCTCAAGAGCGCCATCACCTGGTTCAAGTGGTTCATATTTATCACTTGATGGTCCTTTTGATGCTTTAGGAATTTCTACAAGTTCACCTTCTGGCCTCTCAGGTGGTTCTGAGGGAGTATACTCCTCAAGATCATCACCCTTTAAATCATGTGGAGGCTCAGATGGTTTCAACTTGTGTCCTTTCCAAAATGGATCATAACCCTTGGAGGTATACCGAAACTTTGGCGGCACAGGCTTTTCCGCGGCACTGGATGGTACACCTTCCTTCTCTAAAGAGAAGCCTGGTTCCCTGTCCTTTGCAATGGGAACCTTTTCTGAGGAGGAGCGCACCACTGCATCGGGATCACCAATGCCACGGTGCTCAATGCCAGCCTTCCTGATCTTAAGATCTGGAATTTTGGCATCTGGCTTGAACTTAAAAATTGTTCTACCACGCCATTCATAGCCAATTTGTAGGTCCTTCCATTTTGCCTTGCGCCAATCATCTAGCTTCTTGGTTTCTTCTCCTCCTTCTTTCTTCTTGATGATTGTCAATCGCAAGTCTTCCAGCAAGTCAGTGTCTACAGGACAGGACTTAGTTGCTGGGAAAAGAATCTTCCTGTAATCCTTGTGGTGACGTGTCAGTTCTCTCTTGTGAACATCTACTTCCCAGTAGTCAACCACAGGATATGCATGCTCAGCTTCATCTTCATCACTATTGTGATCAACAGAAATATGGCCATATTCATAGTGAATGAAGTGAGAGTAAAAACTCTTCTCCCGCCGAGCCTGCAAACGCACGTCAGACAAATACCATGCAATATCTTGGAAGTCCAAAACAAGATGAGTACTGGCTGCAACCTTCAACTCCAAATGTTTGATACCAAGAGGCACCGATGTCAGATAAGCATGTTGAGGTGTCAGCCTTAGTTCAAATCCTAAGTTTCTCATCTGTGGCAAGCTCATAAGCAAAGGGACTTCTCCTTCTTCCACTACGTCGAACTCTGTATTGTGGATCGCCCATGCGCGATCATACATGTAAATCACCAGTTTCTGAGAGCAAGAAGCCTTCTGAGAATTGGCAAAGTAAAACTTGCTCTTGGTAGCCTCAAAAGAGTACCATAGGCCACAATTTGGGTGACTGTCGACATAGTTACAAAAATAATCGACTGCACGCCTTGATCCCATAGCTCTAGTGCATCCAATGTCCAGGATTGCAATAGTTGGCGGGAAGCGATTCTCAGTCAAAAATGAAATAGCCTGCGTCTCCTTCACTTCTTCCTCAGCGCTCATAAGCGCAAAGCCATCAGGAGCACTTGTGAGCATCTCCTTTGACAAAGAGTACCTCACAGGGGCACTCATGCCATCGAAGATCATCTCACCATTGTTGACCTTACAGTTAGCTTCATCTTGACATGAGGTCATCATGCCTGACAGCAAGTTCACCTCACTGTCATGGACTTCAGCTGCTGTTGTCACACAATGCGCAAAGAAACCTTGGTGGCTTCCTGATGCTTGTGAAGATCTTGACGGTGCAGGCAAGGAGCGTGGCTGTTGTTGATTTGCATAGTTTGCATCTTGTTTGCCATCTCCTTTATCCTTTCCTTTTCCTTTCTTGCCTTTTCTCTTGCCTTTTCCTTTTCCTTTGTGGGAAAACCATGCTTCTTCCAGCTGTTGCCAAAAGTCATAGGCATCTTCATGTTCTCCTTGAAGATAGTCATTCATATCTTCGGCAAGAATGGCATCATATGCTACTTGGTTTGACTCCCAAGTGTCCTCATAAGGATTCTCCTCAAAATACTCATCTGGATAAGTTGGCGGTTGCTCATCAGCATAATGGCCTTTACCTCGTCTCTTTCCTCCTTTTCCTTTTCCACGAGGTCTGAAAAATCTGCGGCCTGATCTTCCCTTGCCTTTTCCTTTTCTTCTTCCTTTTCCCTTGCCTTTTCTGGCTCTTCTTCCTTGGAATCTCCTCTGGAACCAAGAGAAATTCTGTTCATCATATACCCAAAAGACATCGTCCAGGGCATCAAGAAATCCTTCTATTCCATCTTCTTCATCTTCGGCCCAAAAGCCATATGTACCATCGAGTTCTCCTTCTTCAAACACGAGGAATGATCTTCTACCTCCAGCACCTGTCGGCTGCATCAAAGGATTGTCTACTGAAGTCTTTGTCGTGCAGAACATCTCAATGAAAACTGTCCTCAACTCTGTTGTGGTGTATTGCTGCAGGACCCTACCACGATGAGTCATCAAAGAGGTCAAAGTGTTCCTCTGGTCCTGAGACAAATCTGCAAGTGACAGCATGAGTAAGGCAATGAGATTTTCTCCCAAAGGAAAATCGTTCTGATGAAAAGTTCTCAGATTGCCATTGATAGTCTGCATGATTTCCTGAATTCTTTCCGCCGTTGGAGCTATTCCATTCATCACTGCATCAGCTTGCATCTGAGCTTGTACCTGAGGATGTGCTTGTGTGACTGGCTCCAAAATGTCCATCCAACTGCTCATAAGCCTTTGGAGTAAAATCTGAAATCTTGTCATCCACTTCATCATGTCAGCTGATCCGCGATTGAAGCGCACGAATTGCATAAACCTATACAGGAATACATTGGTTGCTCCTTTCACAAAATATGGTCGTGGTACTCGTTTGAAATAATCTACTCCAGCTCCTGGTGGATCATTCGCCTTCAATGCATCTCTGTCTAAAACACGTTTGTATACAGCTGCTTCTCCTTCTAATCTGTTCCTCAATGCTGGTCCTCTCTTCTCATCCTCCAGCTCGGTGATATCGCACCAATCGTCTATGGCATCCTCATAGGAAAACCATGAAGTCTTTCCATCATAAGATGGGGGCACCTTTGTAGTGACCTGTGTTGTCATTGCTATAGCTGCTGGTTCTCTTCTCACATGCCTATTCACATAGGCTGCTGGCTCATAAGCCACATCCGCATCAGGCTCTTCCCAGTCGTCAATCCAATCCATGGCCGTTTGCCTAAAAGCAAGTCTATGCCTAGGAAAGGAGCTCACCTGGGTCTTCCAGGATCACTGCTCCGCTACCACTGAAAGAGTGACTAGGGCGTACACGGTTGAGGTGCAGACCGCTAGTGTCTTTTTCTGCGCAGAGTCTTATCCTCTTGAGCCTTATGGCAGTCAAGCATGGACACACTAGATAGGCCACTGGAGTGGAACCTGTACAAGTAGGCCTCTACATTTCAGGGGGGGGGGCCCGTACACGTGAAGTTTTCACGTGATTCATGATTCTCGAGGCTGCGAGCCCTTGACTTGCTAAAGCAAGAGCAACTCCAGCTAGCTGATGCTAGCTTTCGTGATAAAGTCACTGCCATGTGTTCCAGCCAAATGTGCCCCTGTCTGGCCAAAACTTCAAAAAGTCACAACCAAAGTGTCTGCCCATTGGAAAGCACCAAAACCATCAAAACCTCTGGCTGATGTACGTCAGCGAAGTTGGCAAACTATTCGCATCACCACATCAGAGCTTACCCAAAAGGCTAGAAAAACATCATTTATCCAACATTGATCCACAAAGTCTCAAAGTCCAGGTCCCACATCAGGCCACTAATCCCACATCGCAAAATCAGATCCAAAGGGCACACCGGTTGGAGCCTTTGCAAGAGTCGTGTGTTGCTTCGCTACAATACAACACAAAAGACATGGTGGTCACATGGTCTACTAAATGTTCTAGCAGTTTGTTTTGCTTTTACACCCACAAAAATGTCAACATAGCTTGAGTAACTTGAGCATATCCCTTTTACCTCTTTTACACCGTGAGGAATTGCAAGATCGGTTCTTTTTGTGTTCGAGGTTTCGAGCCACCAAATTAGCGTTCTTGCTCCTAGTAGCGATGCCAGGAGCCCCTAGTAGCGTCTTTGCTCCTAGTAGTAGCCCCTAGTAGCGTCCTGGATGAAAATATACAATGGCAATGTTGAAATACAATGGCAATGCCTTCCTGTTACATCTGAGGCAAACATTCTCCCCAACTGGACGCGCATGGCAGCGAATCATGGGAGCAAATCAAATGGAATTGCGACCAACAAAAAGCACCCTACTAGGAACAAGAACGCTACTAGGAGCAAAGGGCATCGCTACTAG